TTTGCTGTTTCTTTCACCTAACTAATTATTATCACTTAATTTATATATATTTTAACTATATATATGCATACAGTTATGTAAAGACAACTTGGATTCTGTAGTTCTGGGAATCTGATTGCTTTGCTGTTTCTTTCACCTCCCTCCCTAGCCCATTGATAGCAGCCTCTGCAGAGCTTTACAAGGATGCTGAGGATGTTCTATATATAGTTGATAGACCTTTATTTTACTTAATTATATATGGTGCTGAGAATCGAACCCAGTGCCTTACACATGCCAGGCAAGTGCATTACCACTGAGCCCCAGCCCCCAGATGATGTTCTTAACAATGCATTTCTTAATGCCTGAGTACAATGATGGTTCCTGAAATCCTAGAATGAGGAAGATGGGCGTTGGGGTTGATGGTTGGATAGTGGTAGATCCCACGACACATAACACAGCATAAGCACAGTCTCCAAAAAAAAAAAAACTTTCTCAACTTTACTTAATAACTCCTGATTTGTCAACACACAATTCCATTTAATTGTCTCGTTAGTTCCTCCACAAGTAAATAAATCCTGAGGGAGTTCAGCAATCTATAACCCTGGGAATCTAGAAAATGGCATAAAAGATTCTGGAACTTTCAGATTTGAATTCTGTTGAGATGGTGTTGTCACTGAAAATTTTAGGTAAGTTGCTCAATTCAGATGTTATAGACAGAAAATTGTATTTATTAAAAATCAGTTTAATAGCCCTCTATATTCTAACCTCCTGAAAGGCTGAAGGAAAGGGCCTATTTTGAAATGTTTTTATTATCTTCCTGTTTTAATCTCTGAGTTCACACAGAGAAGTAGAACTTCACAGTTTCGGTGACACAAAAAATAGCCATTAACCCTACCAAAAAATACAATTGAAAAAAAAAAAAAAACTAAATGCAATCATACAAGAACCCACGAGAAACTTTGTTAACATCTCAAGAGCAACTGAGGTGACTGAAGTAGCAGAGATCGTTAGTTTAGAAGACAAAAACATCAAGAAAAGCTGAAGTTCTTTCAGTTTGATATTCCTTGGGAAAGGTTAAAGGCATATGATATTTTTGAGAAGACCACTGATAATAAAGCTTACCTTTAAACAAAAAGGGTGGCTTTTAATACTTTTGAATGGAAAATTTATTTTTTCATTATCATAAAAAGTACCCTTTGTTAGAAAGATAAGTGTGCAGGTTGATTAATATATCCTGCCAGGTAAATTAATTTGTTGTTCTGATTTAAAAATACAGGATCAGCACAAAAGTCGGTCTTTCTGGGGCTTTATGTAGTGATACAGGGGGAAATGCCAAGGAAATCTGTGCCCTGTCTCTCTTTGTGGGACCCAGGGTGAGTCATGAGCATCCTTTTGTTTTGTTTTGGTTTTTTTCCAAGTGAGAAGAATTGCATAGTTTTCATAAAATCTCAAAGGGACTGGAACCCAATCAAAGGAGATGGAGCATCCCCTGGCTCCTGATGAATGGTGAGGCCATTTAGAGGACTTTCCTGCAAAGGCAGCAGAGATAGGGAGAGAAGAAAATGCCAACAGAGGCATGCAAGCACATGGAGGCTTCGGTATCAAGCACAAATCTAACCCATTGCCGTGTTTTTCATACAAAGACAATGTTGCTGCTTTACACCTGCATAGCATAATTATTTACATAGGACAGATAGTTTACATGACAATGTATTAAGCACCTGATGTATAATATCTCCTTTAAATCTTCTTGCAGTCCTATGAGGAAATTGTTATTACCTCCCTTCATAGACAAGAAAAAATGAGATGGAGTATTTAAATAAGTGTTGCAAGATCACAAGTATAGAAATTGTTAATATCAGGACTGAAACATAAATCTGTTACAACTCGTCTTTTGAAATTTGAAAAATTATGAACCACATCTTTATATGCATGTAAGGCAAGCAAGACTCCTGTGATATAATAATAATAATAATAATAATAGGACTGATATTCAGGTCAGCATTTTTCATTGTGATTTACACACAAATGAAGTTCCAAATACTTGGGCTGCTTTTATATTTAAAAGCAGATTATATGTTAAAAGCAGGTTATATATTTAAAACAGGTTCCTTTGGGGTCACCTACAACGTGCTAAATTAGAAACACTGGCCAGGTGATTTTATGTATAAAGAATATGAGAATCACTTGTTCCTCTAGTATTTACAACATGTCAGTATTACAACATGTACCTGCTCTGTGGTTGAGTTGACTGAAAGCCAAATGCTTTTTCAGGTCTCACTGGATTGATGGATAGCTCTGATTTCCAAGCTTTGTTTCCTATATCTATCCATCATGACATCTGATGACAGACAATCTTTTGCAGACATGGAAAACACTAATATTTGCAGACACACTAAATTTGGGTAAACAAATATTTGCTCAGGCTGACCATTTTGGGACTGGTTAATTTGTTTCTTCCTATCTGGGTCTGAAAAGAATACATTAAATCTGGGTTTGCTGGTGTCAAGACATGCATGTGGGATATCAAACAAAATTTTGCTGTAGTTTTAGGGTAAAATGACACCATTTGAGGCCACTCAGAGCATTGGTCCTATTGAGTGGTTTCTCTTCTGGATCAAGGCTTCTCATTTATTCATTCAGTAAATATTTATTGTGTCTCAGGCTTTTCGACTCCCAAAACCCACAATGACATCAAACTTGTTTTTATCTGATATAAAAATAGATTCTAGATTTGCTGGTGCCCATTCCAATTTCACCCTGACTCTCCATCTGATTTATTCCCTGGGTTTCATAATAAATGTGTCAACCCCTCCTAAGGACTACCTGGGAAGAGAGCATTCTCTGAGATTGTATTAAAAGACATTGTCCTTACATCTTAAACCATGTGGGCTCTGAACCACCTGTCCATTCCTAGCTGGAAAATGGGAAAATGAATTTTTCTCCATGTCTAAATTCAATTAGTTCCTAGTTCATTATTATCCCATTGTCCGGTTTAGTTTTCATAATAGCATAGGCATTAATTGAAAACCTGTTGGAATTTATTGATTTATTTGTTTCCTACAAACCCGTACCTTGTAAAATAAAATCTTTCAGCCTCATAGCCATGTCTTTGTGTGTTAAACTGCACCTAGAGCTAAAGAAATACATTTTTTGTAAAAATAAATAACAACCCCGTTATGGTTTGGATATGACATATTCCCTAAAAGCACCTGTGTTAATGCAGGAATCTGCAGAGGTGAAATGATTAGATTATGAGAGCTGTAACCTAATCTATAAATTGATCCATTTGATAGATTAAAAATTCTAAAAGAGTAGTAATATTGGGTAGTAACTGTATGGCATGGCTGTGAAAGATAAGTCACAGGGGTATGTCCTTAAGAGATTGTATCTTGTTGCCCCACCTGGTTCATTTCTCTCTCTCTCTCTCTCTCTCTCTCTCTCTCTCTCTCTCTCTCTCTC